ATTATTTTATTATTATGTTTATTTATTTCTTATTCTTATTATTTATTAATTTTCTTATTAAATATTTATTGTATTGTTATGAAAAGTCATAGAATAAGTAAATGATGATATTGTGTTGTTTGCGTGTTGATAATAATTTTGATGATATAAAATCATAATTATTCATATTAAAATAAATGTGTGTTAATATAAAGAATGATAATTCTATATTAATATTAATATTGTATTTCTTCTTCATAATAAATGAGATGATAAATAAATATCATATTATTTCAATGTTTATAAGAAAGATAAAAAAAGAAATAATTCATAAAAAGAAATAAATAATAAGAAATAAATAAATCATAAAAAGAAGAAGTAGAAATATTATTATAAAATAAATAATGATATGATAATTGAATATAGTTATTTGTTATTTAATTTATATTTGATATGTGTATTATATTATATTATTGTTATATCATTAATATTTGTGTTTGATTATTTCATATTTTATCATAGTTAATTATTTATTTCATATTTCATTTATTATATTTATTATATTATAATTATTTATATTCATTAAATAATATCAAATGAAATAAGAATGATTTGATAACATCAATCAAAATAAATTGAATAAAACATAAGAAATCATGAACATACAATGTTCATTTCAATATAAATCATTCAATTTTGATTTTCATTTGAATAAATAAATAATTGAAAATAATAGAATGATTTAAGAACAAGAAATGATAAAGTTGATAAGAAATAATAATATAAAATGAATTGTTATCAAATAAAATATAAAATAAACAATAATATCATAATAGAAATAAGTAAATAAGATATTAAATGAGAAATGAATAAAAATAAGAGAATAAGAAAAGAGGAGTGAGAATAAATAAGAGAGAAGTTAAAGATAAATATAAAATAATAATAATAATAATAATAATAATAATAATAATAATAATAATAATAATAATAATAATAATAAAGAAAATAGAAGATAATAAAGAATAAGAAATAACAAAACATCTCATCATATTAATGATAATATCACATAATAATGATAGAAATGAAAATAACATAGAAATATAATAAAAAGAATAATCCAATTACAACCAACTAACGAAATGATGATAAATAATAATAAAATTAAAATAAAAGAAAGAGAAAGTATTAATGATAAAGAAATAAGAGATTGTGATTATATAACTGAAATCAATGAAATAATTGTGGGAAGAAGAAAGGAAGATATAAATCAAAACAATCACTAAATAACTAAGATGAAATAATAATAAGAACAATAAAAAAAGAATCACAATATGAATAACAATACAAAATAATAACAATTTAACAAATGATAAAGAAATTTAATAATAAAATATAGAAACATATTAATAATAAATACACAACAATGTTAATAAACCAAAACATTGATTATGAAAATAAATAAAATTACATGAAAAAAATACAGAAATAAAGGATAAGAAGAAGGAATAGAAATAAATTAGAAATAATAAACAAAGAAATAGAATAATAAATGAAGTGAAATTTGAAATAAAATGATAAATATAATAGAGGTTATTTAAAGAAAATAAAAATATATAAAGAAATAAGAATAAAATAAAGTATACAAAACAAACTAATAAATCCAAATAATGAGATAGTGAATACAGAAATTGGATTCATACAAAAATTAAAAAATAAAATAACAATACCAAAGAAGGAAGAAATATTATAATTAAAAACATAACATATATTCTAGAATAATATTTCTATCACCATCAAACATACACAATTGAAATAGTAATAACAATATGATAAAACTAATCTCTACAGAGTATTAAATAATATAAGACACTTCTATCCATAATACATTAACTAGTTTTATGTACACATAAATACAAGTACTAAAAAGAAAAAGTTAAATGGATTTACATTGAAAGTTCATATAAAAATATAACTCAACATTAATTTAATTCAAAAAAAAGTTTCAATAAAAATAGAAGATATTATGTTCAATATAACGGACGTTTTTCTCTAAGTATAAAACTCAATTATTAATTATAATAAATAAAAATTCTTTTGATAAAAAAAGATATATAAAGTATTCAAGAATGAGTAATACGATAAAGAGCTTTTCTTATATAAAGGTGTTAAACAAATTAAAAGATAAAGAAATTAGAGTATAAGAAGGAGAAATAAAAAATATTAATGAAAATACAATTATATAAAATAACAAAATAAGAATTAATATTTTTAATAACATTTAAATAATATAATAAAAATTGTTTTTTATTTTTAAACTCAAAAAAGTAAATCTTTAAGATGTCAGAAGACACAACATATTTATTTTATGAATACTTATTACATAGTCATGGATACCCATCTGATTTAGAAACAATTTTAAAAGAACCAGAAGGGAGAATAGATAAAATTATTCAATTAACAGAAGAATTTGTAAAAGGATTTTTACATGAAAGAATAACATCATTACCACCACAAAAACCTAAACGATTGCAGATGTTACAATCTATAGTAAAAAATGAATATATTACGTACCGTGTAATTGGACATGTTCATTCAATATTTTCAGAACTAAATGGAACTCCAAGACAAGGACTTTTATCACCAACAACACGAGCATATATTGAATTTGAAAAATGGGTAATACCAGAAGTAGCAGTGAAAGGAATAGAAGAGTATTCTCATTTAATTATTTTATTTAAATTTCATTTAAATAAGAATCATGTATATCATCCATTAGTCCATCCACCCAAAAGAGGGAAAAAGACATCAGTTTTTACAACAAGATCACCACATAGACCGAATAATATTGGACTGACTGTTTCATTAATTGATAAATTTGAGAACAATAAATTATATCTAAAAGGAATTGATCTTGTAGAAGGAACACCAATTGTCGATATCAAACCATATATCTTTGCAGATTCCATACCAATAAAACAAATTAAACAACCAGAATGGTTATGTCGTTCATCTCATGCAGAAAAAATTAATGTTGAAATTGATGAAAAAGTAATAACAAAAATGAAAGAGTTAATTAATAAATTAGAGTTTTATAAAACTCTTGAAGAATATATTGAAGTTGTAAAAGAAGTATTATCACTTGATATTAGAAGTGTTCATATGCAGTCAAAACATGAAATTAAAAGATATGGAGTTTTAATAGATAAAATAAATATTATATTTTGTTATGAAGAGAAAGGGATAAAAGTAATTGATGTTGAATATATTGAATGTCCTGGTAAATATTCTAAAATAAAGAAATAATTGAATTAGATTTAAAACCTCAATTTAAAAATAAAAAAGAATAAAATAAAAAGAAAATAAAACTTATTAAAATAAATAATGAAAATTAAAAGATTAGACCAAACTACTATTAATAAAATTGGTGCTGGAGAAGTTATTCAAAGACCTTTTAATGTAGTCAAAGAATTAATTGAAAATTCAATTGATGCACATTGTTCTTCTGTCATTATAAGTATTGGAAAAGGAGGGTTAGAAAGTATTGTTGTAACAGATGACGGGTGTGGGATTTCACTTGAAGACCTAAAAGTATTAGGAGGAAGATATACAACAAGTAAAAGTATTGAAGGAGATACATATGGATATAGAGGAGAAGCATTATCATGTATGACTTATGTTAGCAAAGTGACTATTATTAGTAGAACTGCTACAAGTGAAATTGGTTATAAAGTTGTATTTCAAAATGGACAAATAATAGAAAATCCAATTCCTCTTGCATGTAGTGTAGGAACAACAGTAATTGTTGATAATTTATTTGATAAAATGCTTAGAAAAAAATCAATGAAAGAAACAGAAGAATATAAAAAAATAATTTCGATAATTAGAGATTATGCAATTCATAAAGCAACAATTGCATTTACACTTAGAAAAGCAGGAACGTCAGTATGTGAAATTAAAACAGAAAAGAATTCAACAGTATTAAAGAATATAACTAAAATCTTTACAACAAATATTTCAAATAATCTTCAACAATATTCATATCAATGTTTAGAACCACCATTTCAAATGATATGTTATTTAAGTAACTCAACATTTCAAGGTAAAAAAAATAAAATGATATTTTTTGTTAATGATAGATATGTTGAACATATTGGACTAAAAAAGGTTATTGAAAGAATTTATGATGAATATTTACCTAAAGTTAATTATTTTGTTTATTTATCTATTAATGTCAATAAAGAAAGAATTGATTGTAATGTTAACCCAAGTAAAACTGCTGTAAGATTATTAGAAGAAGAAAAATTAATTAATCAAATAGATAAATTTCTTAATTCAATTATCATTGAATTCTCTCAAACAAGAAGTTTTCCTCCTTCTCAAATCAAAACACAACCAATACCAAATATTCAACAAGAAAAATTTTTTAATAGAGTTGATTCTACTTCTACTTCATTACTTTCTTATATTAATGATGATAGAAAAAAAGTATTACAAAATACAAGGTCTCAATATTCAACTGGAAAACCAAATTGTCATAATGAAGAAATAAAAATTGAAAATGATGAAGAAATTAAATCTCCTTTTAAAATACAAAGAAAAAAAGAAGAAAATAATGAGACATCAACAAAATTACCTAAACAACCAGAAAGTTTAAAACACAACAATTCATTAAAAAAAGTCATAAATAAAGAAAAAGAAAATAATAAAGTTCATATTGAAGTTATAAAAAGAAGACCAAATAAATTTAAAGAAGATTTATTACCAAGTTTAAAAAAATTAAGAGACCAATTTGAAAAAGAAAATGTTAATATTGATATGATTCCAATATTAAATGAAAGCACATTAATTGGAATGATTGATACATCTTATGGACTAATTCAATCTAGTACAACTATGTTTTTAATTCATATCCCTACTATTATTCAAGATTTAGTTTATCAACAAATTATTTATTCATTTTCTTCATTTAATATAGTAGAAATAGAACCTAAACTTACTATTAATCAATTACTTGAAGTTACTGAATTAAATTATGAAAAACAACAATCTATTAAAAGTCAATTAATTCAACATCGTTCTTTATTGTTTCAATATTTCTCTATTACTATTACTGAAAATGGAGAAATTACAACACTTCCTGATGTTCTTCCAGGATATTTACCAACTGCTTCTGCTCTTCCATTTTTTATTTCTCTATTTTCAGAAATAAAATGGGATGATGAAATAAGTTGTTTAAAAGAAATTGCAATAAATATTGGAAAATATTATTCACTTTTACCAACAGATATTTCAATAATAGATTTAAATAAAATGGTTGAACATTTATTATTACCATATATTAAAACAACATTAATCCCACAACAATCCTATGAAAATGTTGTTATTACTCATATTGCAGATATAGCTAAATTATATCATGTATTTGAAAGATGTTAATTTAAATAAATCTATTTTATTTGTTATTTTATTATTTTATAATATTTTTATTAATAAAATAAAATATTGAAGTAAAAATCTGTTAATACTTACTATGATGATGAACTTAACAATAACTTTAATACTGTAACTTCTCAAAACAATAAAAACTTGAGTAGACAAATAAATGTCATTAATTAAAAAGTTTATTTTATTTTATTTAATTTTTTATTAACTAATAAAACATGTTGATGGCGACATAAAAAATTGTTGACAAAAATAGGAAATGATAAAATAAAAAGAAGAATTAAAAGAAACAAAAAAAAAACGAGTTCATTGTGGTGATCCCACATGCAACCACCGTATAATCCATTCAATTTTCACAATAGACATGACTGTGAAAATGATGTTGTAATTCAGTTATGTGGAAAACCTATTCAAACTAATTTAAACCATTTACTTGAAAAGAATGAATTAAGGAAAATGAGTATTGAAGAATTTAATGAGTATAAGAATAAATTGACTGGCTTTAGAAAATTAGAAAATGAAGAAGAATTAATTTTGAAAGGAGTTGAACGGAAGTTGAAATCTTTAGAATCATTAAAGAAATGTAGGAAGAAAAAGAAAATCGAATTAGAATTGATGTCAAAAGAAGTTATTGAAATTAAAGAAAAAACAATAGAATTAAAAAAACAAAATGAATCAATTACCCAGGTTCTATGTGATTGTAAAACATGTAATAAACGTTTGAATAAGATACCTTTGAATTGATTTTTTCTTTTCTTTTAAAATATTAAATAATTTCAAAAATCAAAATTAAAAAATTAAAACCAAAAAAAGAACTATTTAATTAGAAAGTAAAATAAAAAGTTCATTAAAAAAATATGAAATTTTTTATTTTATTTTAATTTTTATTTATTTTGTATTCAATGAAAATAATGTAGAATGTTATTGTTCAGAAAATAATAATTTATGTAAAACTGGATTATTTCTTTGAATGGTAATAGAACTGTTATTACATACAAGAGTAAACAAATACCTATTAATTGCTTTTCCTTTTTTAGTGATTTCACTAATACCCATCATCTTATTATCTTTATAAATTTTTTGAATTCTTTCTAATTGTAATGTTTGTCTTGATTTTCTTGAATATTTAGATTTAAATAAATATCCCATTTCAATACAAACATCAATTAAGAAATTATTAATAAATATTCTTTTTTTCTTTTCATAGGTTCTAACACAAATCTCTTCTTTAATACCTTTTTGCATATCAGTAATAAATGAATCTGCATACATACTTTCGGAAGGTTCTTTACATTAATTTCTTCTGTTCCAATAGTCAATTTTATTAATCTTGGATTGTTTAATGTAACTGTTGATAACTTTGTTGGTAATTCTAATGTAAAC